GAATGTGAAATTGTGATTGTGTTGCCGGTTATTTTGTTTGCAGCTCTTACTTTTCTACTATATATTCGGATTTGACAGATTATCTTAACATTTTCTGTTGCTCACGTCATATTATTTGAACATAATTATTCTAAATGGTTAATCATTCGATAGTTCTGTTTTACCGGTCAAAATGATGATCCATGATCGTGACGATCCATCACTCAATTTTGACGAGCGCTCCATAAACCTTAAATAGCGCCCTCTATTGGGTAAAAACAGTCGCTCCCCATTTCGACTGGTACTCGGCGTCCATTGCTTTGACGTATTGGTACACCATTGAAATCCTGAAACGCAATCGTCCTTTTCCAACGATCTCCCAGTGGCGTTTGCACGTGTGAGTTTTGCTCCGCATTTCGTCGATAATTTGTTCCCATTTTTTCGTCATTTTAATAAATAAATTTTACATTTCTGTGTGAATGGGTATTCAGTGATTCATCAGTGAATGCCACAAAGGTCATCAGCCGTATCTGATGTGATTTTTTTTTAAGTTGAAATATTGCTAGTTTTTCCACGTTGAGATATGGAGGTGAATTAGGGCGCCCTCTAGCAGCTGCATTCTTATCTTTTGCCAGTTTTGGAGAATATGGTTACAGTAGGTCTCCATTGTTTATGCCTTAAAATGCTCATCATCTGTCATTATCAATATTGGCATGTTGGTAATGCAGCTTGGGTATGGATGACAAACAAACCAGGCAATTTGTGCACAAACCTATGCAGTCATGTCTGTTAAAACTTTCATTTGATTCCTCAAATTCATAAGAATTTAGTGATAGTTTTTCACACATTGTCGTATGGTTAATTAAAAAATACATCAAAAACCTTTTTTTTTATTTAAAGATTATCAGAATGAAGGAAGTTTTTGGGAATCCCTTTTTAGATAACAGTTTCATTACTCATGAAAATGTCATTACGGTTGGTGACTAGCCTGTGTAAAAGGCATGGCAGGGGAGAGGAAAAGTAAGGGTTTTTTACAGTCATAGCTCAGTGTTCTCCAACATGTAGAACAAACCTGGCGCCCCGCCATGCTTTCTGCGGCGCCCGCATGTTTAAGAAGTCCCCGCCAAGCTTTAAAATCCTGCCGCCAGGTTTAATTTTTTTGACTCTACAGTGTACATTTACAACTAAAATAATTGATTTCAGTTGTTTTTCCACACATTAACAATGTGTTTCGATGTCATCCCAGCCCGATCGGGGTTGTCTTAAAATCTCGCTGAATCAATCACATGCACCGGCCGGCCGTGCAAACACGAGCGATTCCCCATGCACTGTACGTACGCGCGATGTACACACACTGCACTGACAACTGAATCCCCAGTTCCGGAGTGTGCCGATACTTCAAGTAGCGACAACCCCGCCGCAAAAATATATATCTGTATAAGTACACACACACACCAGCAGGAGTACGTACGGCAGATCTTACGTGCAGCCAACCGACTTTCTTTTTCTCAGTGCTTGCAAGCGCGGTACACAATATAATACGCATTGATGTTTTTGTACGAGGAAAACGAGCTCGAGGCCAAAACACGCGTGCACATGGCCATGGTGTTCCGATCATGCCGATTGTCAAAAGTTATAAATGCGTCGATCGTGTATGGGCCCGGTTCCCTAAGAGAACAAAATCCACTTTTAATTTATTTGACTTACCAAACTAGTTGGCGACATTTAAGAACATACAGGTAGGTCATAAATAGAGGGAAATTGGGGGGAAATGACGATGACAACGACAAAACGCAACATGAAAATAAAGATGACGATCGCATGGCACCGGCACCACCCATAAAATCGCGTAAAAAAAACGTAATTTGAATCCCATTTTGTTTTTCAAAATTACAAAAAGGTGTCATTTGATCTGAGAGAAGTCTGCTTTAGGTTGAAAAGGAAATTTCAAAGTTTGAATGCTAAAAAATCGGGGGAACTGGCCTGGAGAATCGCCTCAGATTGCACCACAGAGCATCTAGAATCCAAAATTTTCTCGGGGCCCTTAAGCGGGCCCCGAACCCCACGCCGTAAGGGCTTCGCGCTCGCGCTCGCAGGAGTACCCGCCGACCCAGCGCCAACCTTTAATTTTCAAAGTTGGAGAACACTGATAGCTGGAGGATTTTGCAGGATTCAGGCAGTGGTCGCCCTCCATGGACCATATTCAAGAAATAGTGGAGGAATTTGCAGGATTTGAGGCTAGCTGGAGTTACCCAGCCCTGAGTTTTATCATTGGGTTGTCTATAAGGGCTGGAGCGCATTTTTCTCAAAACTTGTAGTATTTGCAAAAAAAATTTGGAAAATGTTCAATTTTGTCCCCGTTACACACTAATTGCAACTGCAACTCACCCCAAACTTGCCTGGAATAACCATTACACAGGTCCTTGAAGTAAAAAACGATCCACAATGAAGATTCAGCTTACAATTGCAGTGAAAACAGGAGGAATAACCGCTAACTTGACAACCTTGCTGGATTGGCCAGGACCGCTATGGTTTGTGCACAAAAAAAATTGTGTACAATGAATGGCGGTCGATTAACAGGCACAGAGAGCGATCGCTGTCAACTACTCGTTTTGCCGGCTGCGCTGGCTGTTGGCGCGTGACGTCACGCGGAAGCGTAACACCCGATGACTGTTTCATGCACTAGTAAGGTTTACACTCGCATCACAGCTTTGGTACCGAACCGCAAATAGTGCATGAAACAGTCATCGGGTGTTACGCTTCCGCGTGACGTCACGCGCCAACAGCCAGCGCAGCCGGCAAAACGAGTAGTTGACAGCGATCGCTCTCTGTGCCTGTTAATCGACCGCCATTCATTGTACACAATTTTTTTTGTGGCACAAACCAATAGCGGTCCTGGCCAATCCAGCAAGGTTGTCAAGTTAGCGGTTATTCCTCCTGTTTTCACTGCAATTGTAGCTGAATCTTCATTGTGGATCGTTTTTACTTCAAGGACCTGTGTAATGGTTATTCCAGGCAAGTTTGGGGTGAGTTGCAGTTGCAATTAGTGTGTAACGGGGACAAAATTGAACATTTCCAAATTTTTTTGCAAATACTACAAGTTTTGAGAAAAATGCGCTCCAGCCCTTATAGACAACCAATGATAAAACTCAGGGCTGGGTAACTCCAGCTAGCCTCAAATCCTGCAAATTCCTCCACTATTTCTTGAATATGGTCCATGGAGGGCGACCACTGCCTGAATCCTGCAAAATCCTCCAGCTATCAGTGTTCTCCAACTTTGAAAATTAAAGGTTGGCGCTGGGTCGGCGGGTACTCCTGCGAGCGCGGAGCGCGAAGCCCTTACGGCGTGGGGTTCGGGGCCCGCTTAAGGGCCCCGAGAAAATTTTGGATTCTAGATGCTCTGTGGTGCAATCTGAGGCGATTCTCCAGGCCAGTTCCCCCGATTTTTTTCATTCAAACTTTGAAATTTCCTTTTCAACCTAAAGCAGACTTCTCTCAGATCAAATGACACCTTTTTGTAATTTTGAAAAACAAAATGGGATTCAAATTACGTTTTTTTTTACGCGATTTTATGGGTGGTGCCGGTGCCATGCGATCGTCATCTTTATTTTCATGTTGCGTTTTGTCGTTGTCATCGTCATTTCCCCCCAAATTTCCCTCTATTTATGACCTACCTGTATGTTCTTAAATGTCGCCAACTAGTTTGGTAAGTCAAATAAATTAAAAGTGGATTTTGTTCTCTTAGGGAACCGGGCCCATACACGATCGACGCATTTATAACTTTGACAATCGGCATGATCGGAACACCATGGCCATGTGCACGCGTGTTTTGGCCTCGAGCTCGTTTTCCTCGTACAAAAACATCAATGCGTATTATATTGTGTACCGCGCTTGCAAGCACTGAGAAAAAGAAAGTCGGTTGGCTGCACGTAAGATCTGCCGTACGTACTCCTGCTGGTGTGTGTGTGTACTTATACAGATATATATTTTGCGGCGGGGTTGTCGCTACTTGAAGTATCGGCACACTCCGGAACTGGGGATTCAGTTGTCAGTGCAGTGTGTGTACATCGCGCGTACGTACAGTGCATGGGGAATCGCTCGTGTTTGCACGGCCGGCCGTGCATGTGATTGATTCAGCGAGATTTTAAGACAACCCCGATCGGGCTGGGATGACATCGAAACACATTGTTAATGTGTGGAAAAACAACTGAAATCAATTATTTTAGTTGTAAATGTACACTGTAGAGTCAAAAAAATTAAACCTGGCGGCAGGATTTTAAAGCTTGGCGGGGACTTCTTAAACATGGCGGGGCGCCGCAGAAAGCATGGCGGGGCGCCAGGTTTGTTCTACATGTTGGAGAACACTGAGCTATGACTGTAAAAAACCCTTACTTTTCCTCTTCCCCTGCCATGCCTTTTACACAGGCTAGTCACCAACCGTAATGACATTTTCATGAGTAATGAAACTGTTATCTAAAAAGGGATTCCCAAAAACTTCCTTCATTCTGATAATCTTTAAATAAAAAAAAAGGGTTTTGATGTATTTTTTAATTAACCAATACGACAATGTGTGAAAAACTATCACTAAATTCTTATGAATTTGAGGAATCAAATGAAAGTTTTAACAGACATGACTGCATAGGTTTGTGCACAAATTGCCTGGTTTGTTTGTCATCCATACCCAAGCTGCATTACCAACATGCCAATATTGATAATGACAGATGATGAGCATTTTAAGGCATAAACAATGGAGACCTACTGTAACCATATTCTCCAAAACTGGCAAAAGATAAGAATGCAGCTGCTAGAGGGCGCCCTAATTCACCTCCATATCTCAACGTGGAAAAACTAGCAATATTTCAACTTAAAAAAAAATCACATCAGATACGGCTGATGACCTTTGTGGCATTCACTGATGAATCACTGAATACCCATTCACACAGAAATGTAAAATTTATTTATTAAAATGACGAAAAAATGGGAACAAATTATCGACGAAATGCGGAGCAAAACTCACACGTGCAAACGCCACTGGGAGATCGTTGGAAAAGGACGATTGCGTTTCAGGATTTCAATGGTGTACCAATACGTCAAAGCAATGGACGCCGAGTACCAGTCGAAATGGGGAGCGACTGTTTTTACCCAATAGAGGGCGCTATTTAAGGTTTATGGAGCGCTCGTCAAAATTGAGTGATGGATCGTCACGATCATGGATCATCATTTTGACCGGTAAAACAGAACTATCGAATGATTAACCATTTAGAATAATTATGTTCAAATAATATGACGTGAGCAACAGAAAATGTTAAGATAATCTGTCAAATCCGAATATATAGTAGAAAAGTAAGAGCTGCAAACAAAATAACCGGCAACACAATCACAATTTCACATTCACATAAATTTGTCATGTTTGTAGGGCCTACATTCACACATTCAATGTCTCAAGTCAGTTTTCTAAAGGTAGCTGATATATTGCCGGATCCGGCTTTCTTTTAGTAAACGCAGTGGCTATTGTTACGGCAGCCGTAACGCATTTCCCATTTTCTATCGTTACGGTAGACTGCAACCTGGCAACTTTTATAAAAAAACATGACAAGAAAATATAAAATTAGAAGGAAAAAAGTGAATTTGAACTTTATGAAATTCGGACTTTATTCCCTTTTAAAAAAAATCCTCCAAAGCCTCAGGTTAGAAAAGGAAAAAAATTCGAGTGCAAAACTGAGATTCGAACCCGCAACCTCGCGGTGCAAAATCCTACCCTCTATCGGCTGAGCTGGCGCACTGCTCGAAAAAACGTGGAGAAACAAATAATTATATACCCGCGTGCGTATCAAAAAAATATCGTAGAGGGCGCTAAACAACGAGTGCCGTAACGATAGCCACTTCGTTTAGTAAACGATATTATGCCTGAGACTGTGAGAGATGTTACAGTGCCCTCTTTGATGTATAGGCAATCAGGCCTACATTATAAAGTATTAAAATTACCCATCGATCGAGCAGCAAGTCGGGGAATGGATGGCATGTCGAGTGATAGCAAGAGATCCCAGGTTTGAAACCCCTGTCATGCTCTATTGACATTTTGTTTGTAGTTTGTATAATTGAAAAAAATGAGAATATTCTTTTATTAATAATTTTAAATTGACTCCTAAATTTATTTGTAGGGGGCCTAGAGCATTTTCTTTTTCTGATTCCTGGCTTTGGAGGATTTTTTTTTTAAATGGAAATAAGTCAGAAATTGTAAATGGTCTGATTCCCATCTTGTGGATACGAACTCACAATGACAGTGTTGGCGTGTGTCACAGTAAAACTTTAAGGTCCAAAAAACTGTGACTGCGCATGTTCAGTGCTGTTCCGGCTAATCATTATGAATAATGATCTGGCTAAATATCCACTGCCTTCATTAAAATCATAAGCTGTGTCAAAAGCGTGCCTTTGTCACTGGTCATTCCCTTCTACTTGTGATCTTACTTGTCATCCACTTGAGACGACTAGTAGGCCCTAGGCCCTAATTAGGTATTGGCTAACCCGTGATTCTCTCCTTTATTTTATCCCAAACTTTGATGCAGGATTGAGCAGTTTATCACGGATGTGACCCTGTGCGTCGAAACCAGCAGAGATCTCTGTGAGAGAATCTGTCAAGACTTCCGCCCTCTGCTCAACCAGCCCTGGCCTCCCAAAGCCAAGCCTGCCAAGTCTGGCGCCCCTCTAGCAGGAGATGGTGATGCTGGTAACCATGGCGACGCCGCATCGCTGGAAGAGGCGGAGACCCTGGCTGAGGTGGAGAGGGCCTTGGTTAAGGCTCAGAGGGCTAGGCAACTCCAGAAGAGGGTCAGTCTTGGCATTTGATGCAGGTCCTGTCTTTGCAAAATGTTGTCATTTGTTAAAGGGAAAATACAACATTTGCAAACATCAAAAAATAAAACTACCAAATCATTTTGAAATACCTTGCTGGACTGTTAGTGAATGACAGTGTAAAGCATCCTGTAAAATCATGGCACCTGGTATACTGTCATTTTCAAGAAAAGTGGTACTTTTGTATCAATTTCCAACGCTGGTCGGCCGATTAGCGTTGGAAAACACTGGCTTTATTTCAAATACTGGCCCCAATTGACCATCGCACTTGTTTGCAATCGATTACACACCTATGAACGGGTACAAGCCAGCTAGACTGGTTCCCTGACCTTACAATTCCCCATTGTATGTAAACTGCTCTGTTTCTTCTTATATGGAGTCTGGGAGCCAGACTATAGGAAAATGATTGTTTTTCTTGGTTTTTATAGCATTTTCGAACCCAAAACCTCAAAAAAGTCAGTGTAACTATATTTGCTATATATTTCCAACCCCCCAATTCCATCCATTTCTGAAAATTACAGCAAAAGCAAATGATGTATATTCCCTTTAATATTGCCTATCAGATGTGACCTGACTTGTGATTGACTTGTGATTTGACTTGTAACTGACTAACTATATCTTGGCCATTTTTTGTTTTCGGCGTGCAGCTCAACCCACTGGAGGAGTTACGTCAAGAGGAAGGAACAATGGCACCAGATGCCGATCAAACGACTGGGGGAAATGCTCCATCCGAGCCCACCGGCCAAGTCATCGATGGACAGGAGTTTGCCGTCATTTCCCAGTCGTCCTTAAAGAAGCTGTTTGCCGACGTGAAACCACGGATTTTGGAGAAGTCTGGCGCAAACTCCACTCCCAAGCTGAGGCCTGGAACAGCCCAGGCCAGAGCGGCATACAGCGCCAAGGTTCCCCGGCCGAAACCTTTGGCCAAATCCCACTTCAAAACCACTTCCTCGGAAATCGGCAGAAATGTCACTGCCAAGCCTGTGGCTAATTCTGTGGGCAACAAGGCAATGAAGCCGAAAACTGTCGGTGCCCAAAATGCTAGAGAATCTACTGCAACAAGAAATTTCAGTAAGGGAAAAGGGCCTAATACTGCTGTGAACGGAACTAAGAAATCCAACAGCGCAGGAGGCAAAAATGTATTAAATACAGACAAAGGTACCGCAGGCAGTCAAAAGAATGGAAAAACCATGTTGGATAAGAAACAGAATACATCTGCCATCAGAGAAAAACGAAACGGAGATTTGCCTGATGCCGGGAATAAAGGGAGTCAAAAGTCTGTAGGAGTGCCAAAACAGCCTTCAGAAATAGCTTATGAACATAAACATTTGGTAGATAGAATGGGAAATGTTGTACAGAAAACGGCAGGGTTGAGACTGAGTGAGGTATCCTCAGCTACGCCAAGTTCTTCAGAGACGGGAGATTGTGGAAAGAGTGTCCAGGAAGACAACCCTAGACTGTTCATGCTGAAGAGGGATGGGTAAGCCAAACAGACTAGAGTGTGTCGATTGACACGACTGTACGTTCACTCTTGAATGTTTAGGGTACCAGACACTGACTAGTCTAGCCACTGCCTCATTTGTTTTTAAATCTCAAGCAGATAGCTCAAGTGATCAACTGGTCTATAGATGAGGTAAAAGTTGCCAATATAAGATTTTTAACAATTGTTCATCGTGTTTGCCACATATTCAAAACGTTGTCAATTTAGGTTTGTTTTATTACACTTAAACTTTTTTTGCTGTCAGAATGCAAAGCAGTAACTGTTTACAAAAATAATGATGTCACACACATCATACATGTTGTTCCAAAACAAGTCCTGTATTTATGAAAAAAATCTCAGCTTTTAAAGTCAACTTGCACACTTTTGTTTACTTTATATCTGATAAGCTATTTTGGACAAACTGAAAACAGATGCTAAAGAGAAAATTCAGTTTTGTATAAAGAACTAAGAACTTAGAGTAATCAAAACGCAACTAAAAAATTGACAGACAATGCTGCGCGGGTTTGTTTTAAATGAGCCCATTTGAACACTTGTAGGATTTCTCAAAGGGAAGATGGTATTACGTATATTTTGTGTCTTACAGTTTGTGCCTTTCACAAATTTGTCTTCAGGCGCAACCTCAAGGTGCCAGGCAAACTCAAGAAACTCCAGTCAGATATCTCCAAGCTCAGACAGAGACTGTCATCTAAGATGGAATCTGAAGAGCAATCGCTGCCTTCTCAACACTTTCGGCAGCGATTGGAATCAAAAGTAGGAATTTAAAAGGATTTTCCATTTTTTGTAATTTTTTTAAAGGTTTTTCTTCATTAACTCGATTTGAGAAAATAGTAACTACAGTTCCGCCATTGTTTGTACTGTTTGATGATTGTGTAAAAAATTTACACAAATTTACTGTTACTTTCTCAGTATTTTACTATTACGTTTTCTCTATTCCACCAAATTTAACAGCATCCCTAAGTTACAAGTGTCCATCTCTCCCTCCCAATTTTCCCCCTTAAGCCCCCCCCCTCTATCCCCATCTCCCACCCCTCCAGCCCCGCCCCGTCCCAACCCCTACCTCAAGCAAAAACATAGGTCAGTATCCCTTAAACAACAGCCCTTAATCCTTGGAGCAATTTTACCTTTTTTATATTGTTTTAAAGGACTTAATCGATTAGTCCATTTACCGCCCTTATACATCTGTTACTCCTTGTACTGCCTGAAACCACCAAAGCACTCTATGGTCTTATGGATTCTCCAGGGAATACATACAATGTAATACAAATAAATACAATGTAATACAAAGTAGTACATGTGCTAATGGGTTAAGATTTGTGCAGTGACAGAGTTTAAAGTTTGTTACACATTGTTGCTTGTAGTTTCAGCAGTCGTCCACATCTCTTCCATCCAGAGATATCCAGGGGAGAATTATGGAGCTGACAACAGAGTGCAATCACCTCATTCATGTTGCTAAATCTGCCCTGAATGACTTCCCCAAGCATGGTAACTTTACTAATTATGGTAAATATTTTACTTTTGTACCAAATACTGGGACAATTTTAAAATATTTCAATTTTCACTGATCAAAGGGCCCACAGAGATGAGACTCTGCACAAGTATTCTTTCATGGATGAAAATAGAAAACATCACCCCTGAGTGCATATTTTGTACAAGTGGTTCTATTTGTCTATCATTTCTTTTCTTCTTTTTCTTTCTTGTTTTGTTTTGTAGGCAAAGCATCGTGGGACAGCCGATATAGGCTTCACGTCCTGACTAAAGCACTGAGGACAAAACTGGATGCACTGAAAGGAGAAGTTGAAAATGTTGCTGAAGGTGTGCAAATTGGATTAGTTATTTTATTTTTATGTGCCCCGTTCAACTTCATCTTTATACCGCTCTTCATTGATGAGCAAATATGTGAAATACAGCACTATGGAGTGTGGCCCACATTTATCTCTGAAGTATCTTAATTGATTTTAATATTGGGAATTGTTGGATTTTGGTATTTTTCTATAATTTAGGAATTTGTGGAACTTTGGAATTTTTTTGGGGGGGTATTTTATTATTATCTTGTTTTTTACCGTACGTTTTTTTGCCCTTGGGTTTTTAGGATCTTGGGAATTTTTTGATCTGAGTATTTTTTAAGTTTTTTTTTTATCTTGGAACCTGGGATTGGGTTAGATCTTAAAATAATTTTGGAACTTTTAAAGTTTTTGATGTGGGATATTTTTTTTTTTTGGACCTTGTTTTTTTTTAATCTTGAGATTGTTCTTTTTGTGAAGTTGGGATTTATTTTTTGACGTGGGGATTTTTTTTTTTACTTGGGGATTTGTTTTTTTTTTGGAGTTGGGGATTTTTTTTGACTTTTGCATTATTTTTTTTTTTGGCTAGGAGATTTTTCCGGGATCTTGGTATTTGTTTTATTTGAGGATATTTCTGGATCTTAGTGATTTCGAACCTTTTTTTCCTAAACTCTCAGTGAGTGATAAAAGAGTTAGATATGAGGTTTGATTTCATTTTCCGAAGCAAAGAAGTTGAAGTTGTGAACAAATACAATTTTATTCTTATATAAAATAATATTTGTTTTCATTTCTTTGTTTTTGAAAGTTGTGTTTTAATATTTTTAAACCAATTTCAGCTGAGGCTCTGGAACTTTCTTTCGGTAACGAGAACCCAGGATTGCCTCATGTGAGCCAGCCCTATTCATCTGATTGCTGTATGCAGGAAAATGTTTCCTATCAGCCGTCCACCACGTTCTTTCTCCCTGTTCAACATAGAGATTTACAAGGTATGTTTTGTCATTCATGTGATAGTTTACTTCCTTTTGACTAAAAACGTTTCAAAGCTTATAGGTTTGAAGAAAAACGTGTGAAAGTCATTGAAAATCATCCACGTAAAGGAAGACCCTAACAAATCGGGGGACCGCCAACACAGCTTGATAGCTCAGTCGGTAGATCACTGGTACTGCTTTCTGGAGGTCAGAGGTACAAATCCCACGAAGTTTGTTTTCTTTGTTCAAACTTTTCTGAGAAGTCAGTGAAGATATGTTTCGATTTAGGATTGGGGGAGGGAAACCACCACATGAAAGAATTTGAGAAACCCACAAAAATCAGTGACTGAAAAATGCGATCACGTGATGCTCGCGGTAGGATTTGAACCAGGGTCATAGAGGTGGGAGGCAGAGAAAGTCCTACCATGAGCCTCTCGCACAAGTACCCCCTCAAGGGTTAGAAAGGGAGAGTTGGGGGAGACCACTGGGAGAGATGTTCAAACGCATTGGCAATGAAGCCATGCGCTCATGCGAAGATGCTGTGGCTTTTTGCACATTCAGAATAAATAATTCGTGAATACTTGGCACTGTACATGCACGAACCACTTCACGTGTGGTGTGTCCCAGCCTCAACTCCATGGGCGCGTGCGCGTTCCTTTGTTCCTTTGTTCCTTCACTAACCCCTGGCCATGAGTGTGACATAAACGATGCTGACTGGCTATTCAGAGCGTACTGCACACCTATTTCAAAGACTGTACGCCCGCGTGTCTCTTGCGCGTCACGTCACGTACAAACATTTTTTCAAAACTGCGCGATGCCTGTATGAAATGGATTATGGATGCCTGTTTTTTGGGGCCAAAAAAACTTTTATCTTGTGTTGTAAAGGGATGACAGAGGAACGTACATTTAATATAAATCCTTGCTAAATAATGCGACGTCGACATTTCATGTTTGAAAGGATTGATTCTTCAAAAAAAACAACTTAGAACCTTTTAAACATGACGTCACGCGTTAGATAATTCGACTGCAGTCCTAATTAAATGCGTCATATTTTGACACATTTAAATTAGACAAATCCAGGGGTTATGATCGCGCAAGGCATGATGGGAAAATCATGGCACAGCAAGATCGTACCCATGGAAATGAGGTTAGGTGTGTCCTGTCCACTGAGCTCTCAAAAGAGCGCCCTCGCTTCTTTGCGCACGGAGCCCATACCCATCTCACCACATGATTTTTTTTTACTTAATGCATTTGTACATTATTGTTGAACTAATGTTGGTAGGTTGCATGGAGTACCTGGACCCTACAGGCCAACATGGCCATAGGAACTATGAGTACAGTCAACTCAGGGAACTGCAAAGGCTAGCTACGCTACAACACGATGTGCAGAGGTTAAGTCTGCAAATCCAGGCCGAAAAGGTATAGATTTCTTCGCCATTTGTAAAAAAGGTTGTAGAATGTTCTACACCATCCTGTAGGCAAATTTGAATGCCTTCTTTAAAATATTACTTGTTTTCTATGTTTTAGCTTCTAATTTTAAAATTTGTGTTGGTGTTTGTAATTTACTCTGTTCATATGTATTTTTGGAAAGAATGTTGCATCCCCATGCCATTGTCATCATATATTATCTCAATGAAGGCCAGTCATTGCGTTAATGTTGAAAAGACATGAATTTGGGACTGAGAAACATTTCCAATTTGTTAGAAAACACTTTGAAAATATTCTTGACTTTCCATAGACTTTGTACACAACCGCTGAAGTGGCATCTGGATACTACATTCTTTCCGTATTTTTTTTAGCTAATGCCGATTGTATATGGAATCCAACCTAATGGTTGCTACTAAATTTAACCTACCTACCTACTAAAACAGATGTCAGACCTTTTGTCAGCAAACTGCCTTTTTGTGTTTATACAGCTGATCGGACAGGAGATATTACCAATGATGGAGAATCTAGATTCGTCAGACAGCAGCTGTACTGCCCTGTACAGATCTCTGTATGGTCTGCTGTGTCACGGCGGACAACTCTTCCCAGCAGTTGTCGCAGACAGTGTCGGCAGTGCCAGCTTGATGGAGACAACTTGACCGAGCCAGAACTCTAGAGGGCTTTGTAGCCTACTCGCAGGAGCCATGTTGTGACCGCGCAAAATTTATATCATAATTTCCGCGCGACTTTTTTATTCAATCGAGAGTGCAGAAATATTTTGTATTCAACTATGTAAATATTATTTGACAATTTCAAACTAGCATTCCACTGTCATGCTAAACAAAATTTATCTGAAGACTTGAATTAACTACACTGAAAGTGCAACGTTTGAAACAGTAAGAAGAGATTACATTGAACAAATTACTTCCATTCATTTGGAATGACTCTGTAAGCTAGTCAACAGCATATTGTTAGTACAGAGACTCACCTCTTTTGAAACCAAAATTTGTTTGGGTTGACTTGAGTTGCTCTAATACTATTTGGCTTGGCTTGTCATTTGAACGATATTTTAAAATGGGTATAAAACGGTGCCTCCAAAAAACTTCATGTTTGTAGTCAACTGTGTAATTGTGTTACTGAGATCATTTCGGATAACACTTGAAAAGTCATTTTAGGCCAAAATAAAAATACCCGGTCTCTGGTCAGCGCACGCGTCGATTTTAATCATGCGCGTCAACCTTTTTTCTTCTTCAAATTAACACGGAAGCTACAACAGCGCCCTCTATTGCTGCACCTCAAATTTTTGTACCAAGGAGCACCAAGGAATGGGGAAATTGCACCAAGGCAAATGATAAAGGGCACCAAGGCAAATGATGGAGGACACCAATGTATAATGACACAAAAAAGCAAAATATTACCCACTTGTCTGTACAATTGAAGCTTGAAAAAAAACAAAAAACACCAAAAAAACACCAAAAAACCAGCATCGCCGCATCAATTCCGGAACTTCGGTCTGACCAGAGACCGATTATTTTTTTTTTGGCCTTAAAGGAACAGCTTTCTGAGGAATTAGTGTTAAATCGACGTCAGCTTTTTGTCAATGAAGTGTTTCTCAGACGTATGTATAATTTGTACATAACATGCACAATGAGATTTTAAATGACGTATTTTGTTATTAATTAAGCAGTGCCTTATTGTTGAACCAGTGTCTTTCAGCAAGTTTTCCACATTTTCAAAATAATAATTTGTATCGCTTTTTGAGAGAGAGAGAAAAAAAAAGATTAAAAAAAAATAAAACAATTGGTGATATAAGACAGAAATATTGATGATATGAACTTTCATCATAATTTAATCTTAACTACCTTGGCATATTTGCTAGACAACTTTTTAAATTCTTCAAAATTCATAAATATGTAGGAATCCCATGGCACATTCTTGTATTTAAACTTTAGAAGAACATTAAACCACATGTTATGTCATAGTTGCTGGCTGTTAAACCTTCCAAAAGTATTTTTTTTGAAATTCCCCAAACTCCATGGTGGACTTAGAATGATTTAGAAGGGTCAGGCAGCATTGTCTTCATGTCAATGACACGCCAGTCACAAGTCAGGTCATGAGTTACAAAAGATAAGCAATAACAAAGGAATGTCTTCGTAAATATAAACAGCATTTATATTGAATGAATCTTAATTCCACTAGTAAAAGGAACAACATTGCAATAAAGTACTGTGATAAATTTGACATATTTGCTCTCAGTATTTTGTGTAATGATTTGTTATCAACTTTCACCTCGAAAAATACCTTTTTTTTCAATTGCTATTTTCCTAGCAATATAAATGTTATTCACTATTAAATTATATGAAAAATGTTAATTAGTTATTGAATTATGTCTTCACAAAATAATTCAGATTATTGGCTGACAATAATCTGGCTCTTGCAGGGCAAGTTCATTTGTGTGCAAAATTAAAGTGTTTTTTTTCCGGAGAGTTGCATATATGCCAAAAATTGGGTGAAGTATTTTTTTTGGTTAAAACAAAACATACAAATTGAAAGTCTGCTAGGAGAAATTTTTTTTGAAGAGCATGGGGCAATGATAGACAGCTTGTTTCTATTTTGTCTCCAATATTTCAGAGCAAACTGTCCTGCCAACAGAAATATTAATCAATATATCTAGGTACGTGAACCTAATTTCAGGCGAAGTAAAAAAACCCACATGTTTCCCGTCCCCGCCCGCTTCCTTTTTGGAGGCCGCCTGGATTTTTTTGTTATTTTTTATTTTTGAAAAATGCAGTAAAAAACAACGAAAAAGTCCACAAATTCATCAGAAAATAAATTGTAGACCAATACAAGTCTAAATGACACTGTAAATATGTTCAGTTCTCTTGTCCAACTTATCTTTCATTTTAAAGTGTCTTTGAACAGTGGAAACACCAACAATTGCAGGATATTTAAAAAAATTTGAAACAAATAAAAAATTAAAAATAAAAAGCCCCGCTTCCTCCTTTTTTTGAAAAACCGGACGAGAAACATGTTTTTTTTTATTCGGCCTTATTGACCCATTTTTTGCATAGGTTATACTTATTTGTCTTTTTTGGCCGGTTCCAATTGAACAAAATTCTTATATTGCACTTTGCCCGCCCTTGCATATCAGTTCAAACATCCAGCTAAAATTAAAGTGAACGTCTATAATGTCCTTGAAACTAAATAGTTTTTGTTAGTTTTTTGTTTGTTTCTTTTGTTTGCTTGATATTTTTCTACTTTTGTGTAGTTTTGTGCGCAATTAAAATACTTTTTAAAGCTAAATTCTCATGTTATATTTTTGTTTACCAATGACTCATCGCAATGCAAATTCCGGGTGTGCTAAGTTTAGTTGAACTCTCTTTAATTTGTCCAAAATAATTATGGTGCTGTTCTGATGTTATCAGGTAGCGAGCGCCTCCTAATTTGTAAACAATCTTTCACGAGTTTCTTTGTCAAAACTTTTTGACCTCTCAGTAAAATCGGTCATGTGTGCATTTCCGCCGTAGGCCAAATGTACATATGTGTACGGATACCAGGTAAACATCGCTATTCCAATGTGTACTCAACGATTGGCTCTCCATTACAATTGATGGGGAAATATCGACGCACGTAAACCAGCGAAAAGGGGGAGGCAACATGGCGGACGATTTAGCTTACGGTGAGTCGAAACGCAGGCGTTAATTTGATCCTTCAGTTTTCCACATTTACGGGACCTATTCAGAACAATTATGTGTGCATTTGGTAAGGTTCGGGAAAGTTGTGTTTATTGAGGTTTTTATTTTTGTGGTGTAGGTACGGTGCCGGCGTTTTACCGTGAGGTTTACGACATCGTCTGCCCGAATCCGTCGGACGGGAAAGTTGATCAAGATGTTTTCGTCAAGATACTCGTGAAGTCCAGTCTGCCGAAACAGACGTTGAGCACGGTAAGTTGAGATTCCTGGTAATTTTAGGATATGATGTTTGGGAGTTATGCTAAACTCTAAGCTAAGGTGTCATGATGTAGGTGCAAGTGATGCCAACAGGTTTTCAAGATTAAATTAAAAAGAATTAATGTCTTTGTGAATGAGCCATAACACAATCAATGGTTGGGGGTGGGGTGGGGGACGGGGGGGGGGGGGGGAGGAGACAACTTAAAAACACAAAATAATTATTTCCCAAAATGTGTATCTTTATTGTTCTAAATCAAATCCTACTTTTTTAAATGGAAGCGAAACTAATTTTCTTTCTGATTCATGGCTCTGATGGAGGAATTTAAAGGGAAAGTCCAAAAACCATTCGGTTGACAACTGACGCATGCGGGCAATATTCAACTTCTGTAAACTAGCACCAGCATTATTACTAGGCCTATAATAATAACTTTCTTTGGCTTTGCCAAAACAGAATGGCAAAATAATTTACAAATAATTTACCTAGCCCTATTGATTTCTGCATTCTTGCCATTGCATTGGCTGTTCGATAGACATGATAGAGATTATATATTTGAAATGATCTACAACATCCAAACATTAAATAAGGGGAGCTTCAGCAATAAAAAAAAAGAGAAGTAAACAAGCTCTGCTAAAAACCAAAATGCACAAGATTTGTCACAATTTGATCAAACCACTCGTATACACCACCCCTTTACACATTTAGGCCACACCCACAAAATGGACGGAAAATAACAGGTGTGGAAATGCTAGAAAGTTTTATCTCATGTCTTTTTAGAAGCTTATGAATAGTTTCGTTGCGGTACCCGCTGCTACAATGTACATCATATTTGAACCAGCTAACCGATCCCACAAGCTTGGTGGTCGAGTGGTAAGACGTCTGCACTAGAAAGCAGGAGGTCGTCGATTTGATTCCCACCCGAGTGATTTTTTTCTAACTTTCACTTGGGAGGTAAAACAACCGAGTATACAGTGTTTATACGTTGGTGAAGGGCAAAACCTACTATTGATGTCTAAGTTTATTTAAAAGCATGAAAAAAGAAGGAAAATATATAATACAATTCTTCTGAGTTTTTATTCCTTGCACCCCCTATTTTAAAATCAAGCTCCGCCCCCAAATCAGCAAGATTCAAGGTGGGTCCATTAGCTCCATCTCTTAAAATGATTGTTAGCCCATTTCGGGCTTTTACCACGATTTGGGCACAATTTGGGCGAAAATAATGGGCCTAAGCAGCTCCACTATTACCCAGGATATATGAAACATATATAAATATAATCTTTAAATCATTCTTAAGAAACTTTATCCGACTTTTTTTTCATTCTTAAGTAGCTTTTAAGGTATAAGGGGGTCAATCTCAACAATTTAATCCAAAAGCGCGACATGTTAATGAAACTCGAAAAATGTGACTTTTGACCTGGGTCCCCTGACCCACACCCGACCGAGAGCAACTTCAGAATAGCCATTCCAGCACTACCCCGGTGACGGACAATGGCGTGGTTCTATCAAAGCTTTTGTGTTCAAAATTAAACACCGCCTAGCTACTGGACTTATTAAGCAAACAGGCCTTTTGAGTTTACTGCCGTCATTGACGCAATTTTACACTCTGGCTTAGTAGCTTTTATTTTAGCAAAATGGGCCTGGCGGCTTTTTAGCTTTTATTTTTTTTTACGGCTGAAACTCCCTTTATTTAATTTTGGATGTTGTAGGTTAT